CTCTGCTCTCTAGTCTATAGGGTTAGTCTATAGCTGTTTCCAAGCTCTCACAGGACAAGGAGTCAAGATGCCCAGCTTCTGCTTCCGTGCTCTCTCTCAGTTCAGCTCCTGTGCCCGCCATTAGCCAACCACAAAAGACTGAGAAACTGTACTGCTGAGATGGTTCAGTGGGTAAAGCACTTGCTGCCAACCCTGACAACTGAGCTCCATCCCTGGAAGCCACAGGTGGAAGGGAAGAACTGACTCCAGCAAGATGTCCTCCGCATGCAGCTCTCCTCCAGCACATGTGCCCATGGCACGTCCATTCCTGCACAGACTACGCCCTCAGACAAATACATATTATCTGTTAAAGCTGAGAATCAGGAACACTAAAGAAGGCAACTATGCCAGAAAGCTAAGCCAAGACAGTTGCTGTGTTGAAATGTGTATGGCTGCCAGAGCGAAAATGAAAACTCAGTCCATGGCCAAGCTGCCTGTCATGGTGCCTCGGGAACCCTCGTGTTTACAAACAGACACATGTGCTCTGCACACTGGCAAAAGGGGACTGTGTCTGCAGGTCTCACAGAAGGGACACAGAGCACCGCTTGCTCAGGCACTGCTTACAGAGCATAGCCCTGACTTTCCCATGAGCAGAGCTTTTGCTCTCAGGTCTCAGCTGTACCAGGATTGCGTGCTGCAAGGTCTGTGCCATGAAGGAGCAGGGAGGTGGAAAGATAACGTCTGGAACCCCAGAGGAGAGAGAAATGGATGGAGAGGGATTGTCGTATCATGGACAGGAGTCTGAGCTCTAAAGACAAACAGATATGAGTTTTAAAAACTCCCATTAGAATATGTAAATGTATATATTTTGGATATTAGCCCTCTATCGGATGTAGGGTTGGTGAAGATCCTTTCTAGTCTGTAGGGTGTTGTTTTGTTCTGATGACAGTGTCCTTTGCCTTTCAGAAGCTTTCCCGTTTCATGAGGTCCCATTTATTAATTGTTGATCTTAGAGCCTGTGCTGTTGGCGTTCTGTTCAGGAAGTTTTCCTGTCTAATGAGTTCAAGGATATCCCTTACATTGTCTTCTGTTAGATTTAGTGCATCTGGCTTTAGTTTGAGTCTTTGACCCACCTGGACTGGTTTTGTGCAGGGTGATAGGTATGGATGAATCTTCATACTTCTACATGCAGACATCCAGGTGCACCGGTACCGTTTAATATATTAGAAAACTCAAGAAATTAAGCACCAACAAGCCAAATAACCCAATTAAAAATGGGGTACAAAGCTAAACAGAGAGTTCTCAACAAGGACTCTCAAATGGCTGAGAAGCACTTAAGGAAATGCTCAGTGTCCTTAGCCACCATGGAAATGCAAATCAAAGTGACTCTGAGATTCCATCTTACACCTTACATCAGAATGGCTAAGATCAAAAACTCGAATGACAGCACATGCTGGTGAGGCTGTGGAGAAAGGGGTACACTTCTCCATTGCTGGTGGGAGTGCAAACTTGTACAACCACTTTGAAAATCAATCTAAAGGTTTTCAGAAAATTGAGAACAGTTCTACCTCAAGACTCAGCTATACCACTCCTAGGCATATAACCAAAAGTTGTTCCACCATACCACAAGGATACCTACTAAACTATGTACGTAGAAGCTTTATTCATAATAGCCAGAAACTGGAAACAACCTAGATGTCCCTCAACCGAATAACAGATACAGAAAATTTACACCATGGAATACTACTCAGCTATTAAAAGCAAGGAAATCATGAAATTTGCAGGCAAATAGTTGGAACTAGGCAATATTATCCTACGTGAGGCAGCCCACAAAGCCTTCGACACTAGATTTGCCTACAAGGTGTGCAAGGATAAAGATGGAGCAGAGATTCCGGGAAGAGCCGAACAATGACCGTCCAACCTGAGAGCAGCCCATGGGAGGACAGCCAACCCTGTGGGGCTCTGCTGGGAAAAGTCGAAGTCAGTCATCTCCGGATAGCCAATTTATCTGTGCTCCCTCTATGACGATAGACTCCCTTTTCTCGGCGGGGTTTTACAGTCTCCCCTGATCTGGGTGACCCCAGGTCTTGTAAGGCACCTTCGAATGGGACTGTATGTGGATTGTCCAACAACAGATGCCTCTCGCTCAGGGTACTACTCCCCGATGCTGGCAGAAGGTTCCCTCACCCTCTTTCCAGACCCAGACAGCCTGAGTGAGTGTAGGCAAAGACCTTTTAGCCTCTCAGGAAACAACAACAATAATAACAGGAGACTGGTGATGCAGCAGCCAGGTAAAAGTCATTAGGACAGCTGCCACTCTTAGATCTGCAGGCAGGCTTGTGTTTGGTGGCGTGTGCCAATCTCTCCTGACAAAATTGTCTCAAGAATGTTGACCCTCACCAGCAACACTTCCCGTCTTTATCTATCATGGGGAATAGTTCATCACATAGGAAGGACCCTCAATTTAGGGAGATATGTACCCTCTTTAAAATATATGGCATAAAACTTGCTTTTAAAAAATCTCCTTGTTTTGGGAGGAAGTCCTTTAGATAGCACCTCATGACCACAAGTGATATTAACAACCCTGATACATGGACCTAAGTCTATTCTCTCCCTGAAATAAGATCAGTCAGGGAGGAAAAACCTCTCCTCACTTTTTGGTTATCTTAGCCATGGCCCATCAATACTTAAGCCATGTTAAAAATAAACCCTGCTAAAAACACTGCCCCACCCCAGCCAGCGAGTCTGGGATTCTTCATTTTTCCTCCACCAGGTCTCCTCTCATCAGGCCTGCCCTCTAGCCCACTGTGCCTCGGCTTCGGTGGGCCTGGGCCTCACCAGGCCTGTGCCTTGGCTGCAAGCTGACGAGGCATGGACGTCTGCCCATACCTCTGTCATGCTCAGCACAGCAGCTAGACCAAGAGCTGTAACACTTTGGTGTCACCATAAGCTTTGAAATGCTGGTGCTCCCGTTGCCACTGGTGACCTCATGCTAAAAGAGCTAAACTGTAATACTCTGTGGAAAACCTTTTCCACACCTTGGCTTAGCGTACTCAGGCCTCGCCCTAAGGCACTCTAGCTTCCCCTGAGAGAAATGAACCCCCTGTCCTCCTTCTGGAAGCTGAACTCCAAGACCACATCCCAGATACAGGCCCCTGCCGAATGGCACAGCCCCTGACACTATTAAGGATACTATGCTATGCTTGCAGACAGGAGAATAGCATAACTATCCTCTGTGAGATGCTACCCAGCAGCAGATTAAAACAGACACAGAGACTCACAGCCAAACATTAGGTGGAGCTCAGGAAGTCTTGTAGAAGAGTTGGGGGAAGGATAGAGGGACCCAGAAGAGAAATAAACTTCACAAGAAGACCAACAGAGTCAACTAACCATGGACAATGGGGGCTCACAGAGACTCAACCACCAGCCAATGAACATGCATAGACTGGACCTAGGCTCCCTACACATAGGTAACTGATGGGCATCTTGGTCTTCGTATGGGCTCCCTAGCTAGTGGAGCAGGGGTTGTCTCTGACATGGACTCTGTTGCCTGCTTTTGGAACCCTTTCCCCAGCTGGTCTGCCTTGTTGGGCTTCAGTGGAAGAGGATGCACTTAATCCTGCTACAACTTGATGTGCCTGGGCAGGTTGGTGGAGGGGGTGTCCTTTCTGAAGAGAAGGGGAGAGGGAAGAGGGTGGGAAGGTGAGACTGGGAGGAGGAGGGGAGGGGGCTTCAAGAGGGATGTAAAGTGAATAAATGAACACATTTTAAAAATAATATGCAAATCTAGAGGCTAAGGGTGTAGCTCAATTGGTAGACCTCTTGCCCCGCATGCAGGAAGCCCCCAGGTTTAACACCCACCATAGCATAAACCAGGTATGGTGGTACATGCCTGTAATCCTAGCACTTGTGAGGTGGAGGCTGGAAGATCAGATGTTGAAGGGAAGTTCTGACTACGAAGAGTTCATATGCAGCTTGAGCTATATAAAACCCTGTCTCAGAAAGAAAATCTGTGTTGTTGCTGTTTTTAATTGCAAGGTTACTGTGGCTTCTGTTGCAGAAGACCCCAAATCATTAGGAATGAAGCAAAGGAAGTGAGCCATCCTGTACAAACTTGCTTTAACTGATCTCATCTAAAAATAGAGTCCTGTTCTGTGGTTCTGGACCCATATGCATTTTACGGAGGTCAGGAGTCATCTTACAAAGACACCTCAGCTCTTACCATACTCTAGGGACAATGCTGTCACCTCCTGGCATTAACTCCTTCAACCTTGCCTCAGTGCTGGGACCAGGTACTGATGTTAGCCCCATTTACTGGTGAGGAGATGAGAACTGAGCTCAGCATCTTTTCCAAGCTCATATAGCAGGAAGCCCACAGTATGCTGCCTGGCTTTGGAGGCTCTTCCCTTGACCTCTTTAGTGTGCTCCCCTTCTCATGGTGGGGTCCCTAGTTAGTCTTGCCACTCCTAGGAGAGTCAAGACATATGTCTGTGAAAGGGGGTTGCACAGGCTGCTGAGGTGGGTGAGGGGTTCATCTGGGTCCTGATGTTTTCACTATGGGAAAACAGTGTGGCTTGGTGAAGGGATGGCCTCTCTGTGTTATATTTATCTTAAAGAATATGAGAAGCTGGAGACCAGAAAAGAGCCTTGGGAGGAAGGATGCCAGGGCCTAGTCTTGTTCTGTAGCCAACTGCCCCGGGCCTTGGTTTTGTCATGTGAGAAACAGGCCAAACCAGGCTACCTGTACCTACTGGCTGACTGGCATGTGGTCCAGGGAGGAAGGGCTAACGGGAAAGGCCAGTCATTGCCTGACTACCCCATGCCATGCTCCCTGGGGAGACTCACACCTAGGATCTGAAACCTATTGTGCTCGCTCACTGCCCCTTCAGAGTCAGTGACTGTGGCTTCCTGTCCACAGAGTTTGACCTGGGCTGGGCTCAAGGGATCGATTAGAGCTTCCCCAAGATCCTGATTGGCCTGGGCTGAGCAGAGCAAACACCAAGGTCATCATTTGCCTCTGGCCCCTTCTTCAGTCTCAGTTTGAAGCTGCCCCTGGCAGGGAAGTAGTCCCTGTTCCAACACCAAACCGTGAGCTCAAAGGTCGAAGACCCAAAGCCATGAAGGGTCTTGGGACCCTGTTCCTGCTGCTGACCACCTGCCTGGCTTTGAGGGCTGATGATGCAGCAACATTACCAGACATCCAGGTTCAGGAGAACTTCATCGAGTCCCTGGTAAGGCTGGCCTCTCTGGCTGGGTGGCCACAGTGGCGGTATGTCCATGCCACTGGGCTTTGCTGGCCAAGGCCTGGGGTGTGTCTTGGGGTGTCCATCTTGGACATGACATCTCAATCCCTAGGGGCCCGACTGTTAGGTTATTCTGAGATTTCCTAAAGATTAGTTTCCTCACCTGCCATTCACTCTGTGGGGCCCTCAGTGAGCCTCAAATCTTCCTAATTTGTTGTCCTCATGGGTTCCCAGAGGACGCCACATATGGCCAGTGGCATAAGGTGGGCATGGGTCTGTGAGCTTTGGTGACAGGCCTGTGGGCTTATGGGGGAAGAGAAGCAGGACACAGATTATGGGGTTGAAGAAATTATTAAGTGTGAGCTGAAGGGCACCCTGGCCTGTGACAGGAATGGCAGGATGTATCTTTGTGTCTGTGGGCATGTGCAAATATTTAGTATGTGTGTGCATGTGAGTGTGGACGTGTGTGTTGTAGATCCAGCAGCCCCAGCTTTGCCCCGAATCATCAAGTTATCTGGGTAGGGGACCCTGTCCACTTCAATGCTGTCTCCATGGTCTATCTGAAGGGTTCTCAGTATTCTCCTTGTGGTTTTTTTATACCTTAGGATGAGGAACAGGTGTGCTGGGTGTCCAGGGGTTAGAAGGCCAGCACTACCTAACCAGTGTCAGGAGGAAGAGGTGCTTGGGCTGGTCCTACAAGGACGTATCAGATGTGTAGTGTTTCCATGGCACACCCATAGGCTGCCTCACAGGGTGGTAGACACTCTGCTACGGAAGGAATACACCCAAGCCTCACAATCCAGAACAGTGGTGGCTGGTGAACTCAGAACATGTGGTCTGGGCCCTACCTCCCCACAGAGCATCACAGAGACTTTGCTTCTGTGGAGCAGGCCTTGAGAGGCTGTCCCTCAAAAGTTTGGCCCTCAGGGGAGGAAGGGGGAATGTGGGCACATCTTCTCAAAGGCCTGGGTAAATCTACGTCCCAGCTTGCGGTTCTTCCTAGATCTATGGAAAATGGTTCAACCTGGCTGTGGGCTCCACTTGCCCGTGGCTGAGGCGGATCAAGGACAAGCTGAGCATGAGCACACTGGTCCTGCAAGAGGGAGCAACAGAAGCAGAGATCAGCATGACCAGCACCCGATGGCGGTGAGTGGGGGTGCAGGAGCAGCCAGGGGTTCCAATACATCTCTGGAAACCACAGCTTGGACCTCGCTTCTGAGCCTTGGGCAGCACTGCTTTCCTGAAAGATGTCTTGTATGTGTCTTAAGGACCATGTCTCCAACACTAGGCTTCTTGTTCAACTGGCCCCTCCTTGGATATCCCCTCCAAGCAGAGGAAGGGAACAACTACCCCAAGGGCCTATCCAAGAAGTCTCAGGCCAGCAGGTCTAGGGTGAAGTTCCTAGACTCTACTCATTTCTCTTCACTGCTGAACAAACACCATGAAGACGTGCCTCTTCTCCAAGCCTCTCCCACCGATACTCTCTTCATTGCTGCCACTGTGCTCCATGCTTTCTTCCCTCCCTCTCTTCCTCTTTCCCTCCCTCCCTTCTCCTTCCTTCCTTTGTCTCCTGCAACCCATCTATTTTCTTTTTCACCTACAACCCCACTGTTCCCCTCTGATCCAGTCTTCACCCAGCAACAAGAAAGACCTTTTAAAAAGCCACACCTGCTGAAGAGAACCTTGCTTGGCTTCCCCCTGCCCTTAGTGTTAAGAGTGAAATTTTAGCAGGATGTGGCAGCCTGCTCTCAGGGAGGTCAACCTGGTCACAAAGCAAGTCCAGGACAGCCAAGGCTACACAGAGAAACCCTGTCTCAGGGGGAAAAAAAAGGTGCTAAATCTTGATGCGTCTTCTAGGCCTTTTGGCTCTCCCTGTTCCGTGCTTTTCCATGGCTTTGGCAACCCTCTGCAGTAGATCTTCCAGTTCCCAGAGCCTTCACACTCTCACCCCGCCAGCCTTTATACATCTCCCTGCCTCCGTGGCCTAGTTCTGAGTCCTTGGGATACTAGTTCCATGTCATTTCTTCAAGAAAGCCATTCTGAACTCCAGCTTCAGGTCAAATGGCCTCTTGAGTACAGTGGTTCTACATATACTGTTTACATCTGGCCCTGAATGGACTTCCTGGCCCACATTACTACCAGCCCCTTGCAAAGACAGACCTATCAGGTTCTCTTCTGTATCCCCAGCATGTGGCACAAGAGTTGTTCCCAGGCAAAGGAGTGACCGTTCATGTAACAGTAAAGCTAGAATACTACAGTGCTTCCCTGATCCATGAGAAGAGCTCATTGACCCCCATGACAGCCGTAAGGGACATCAGTGTGTCATGCCAGCATCCTACATGGGGACATTAGGCAATGAACGAAAGCTAAGCTCCAGTTCACCCCCAGGGCACCACGCAGCCGTGGTGACAGTGACTTTACTGTTCGCCCTGTCAGGAGGCAGGGGCTCCTCAAGGGTTAGGATGACCACGAAACAAGATGTTTGGAAATGTCCATTTCCAAATAAACACAAACAGATAATTTGGCTTGGTCATTGCCAGGAGAGGTGTCTGCGAGGAGATCTCTGGGGTGTATGAGAAGACAGACATCGATGGAAAGTTCCGTTACCACAAATCCAGTGAGTGTGGGGACACACCACAGTACCTTCCTTCCCCATTCTCTTCCCCCTCTACCCTTGCAACCTTCCTTCCCATTTAGCTGAGAAAATGACCATCCTTTCCTCACCAGCATCTCAGCACTCCACATCCCCTCCTATTTAGCCTATGACCAGAATAAGGAGAGGTGCAGAATGCCAAGGATGACAAGCAGCTCCCCACCTTGTAGGCCCCATGTTTGGTGCTACCTGACAGAGGGATGTGGGGCCCAGATTTACTCAAAGATTTAGCAACTGTTGACTCTTTTCTGTGTGCTAAATCGTTCTGCAAGAGGTGAACACATGAACGTTTGACAGAAGGATGGTGAAACTGAGTGGATGAGTAATAATAAGTAAACAAATGATTGGCCATCTGAAAGACAGGCAGATGGAGTGATAGAGAAAGAAAAGAAGGAAGGAAATACAGACAGCAGAGAAGGAAGGGGGAAGGGTGGGAAGGAAGAAAGGAAATGGTGGTTCATGCTTATATTTTCATCAATGAGGTGGAGGAAAGAGGGTCAGAAGTTCAAAGTTATCCTTCTCTACAAAGCAAGCTAAAGGGCCAGCCTGGGATAATAGAAAGGAGGGAGGAAAGAACAAAGAGAGAGGTAATGGGCAAGAGAGGAGGGAGAGAGGGAGGAGGAGAGGAAGGAAAGAAATGAAAAAAGGAAGGTAGGAAAAAGAGAGGGAAGAAAGCAGGGAGGGAGGGAAACAGAAAAGGAGGAAAGGAGGACAGACTTCACATGGATGGATGGAGTGGAAGTGGGTGAGTTAATGCTGTCTAGCAAGTGGAGAGAGACGCTGACCTGGGTGAACAGCTGGTGAGCCTTAGAAGGACCCTGTGGTTGTGGGGATGGGTGCAGGCATGCGGAGGGAGGACAAGCGATGGGCCTCCAGGGTGAAGATCCTAACTCACACCTTCGGTCTGCCTGCATCTCCCACACAGAATGGAACATAACTTTGGAAACCTACGTGGTCCACACCAACTATGATGAGTATGCCATTTTCCTCACCAAGAAGTTCAGCCACCACCATGGACTCACCATCACTCTCAAGCTCTATGGTAAAGGCCTTAACAAGATCCTGTTGAAGATGGGGTGAGAGGAGATTGTTAATTCATGGACCATGGGGTGGGAAGGAGCAAAACAATTGTTTTTCCTTTGTGAGGGAACTCTGGTTAGGGAGGGACAAAGGGCCTTGGCCTTGAGGAGGCACAGCTCGATGTCCTAGAATTCTCATCCTATCTCCAAAAGCAGATCCCGGGAGCTGGAAAGACAGTGTAATGATTAAAGTGCTTGCCAGCAAGCATCAGGCCAAACTGGGTTTCCCAGAACCCACTTAAATACCAGGTGGACGTGGTCACCTGCCTGTAATTTCAGCCAATAGGGGATCCCACACTTATGCTGGCAAATGAGACTAGCTTTGTCTGTGAGTTCTGAGTTTGCCTGAGAGACCCTGCCCCCAAGAGTAAGGTAGGAGAGCAATGGAGGCTGATTCCCTTCTTCAATCCCTGTCTTCCACCTGCACACACAGACAAACACCTTCTTGTGCATGCATGCCTGTGTGCAAATGGTAAAGAGCTGGGAGAATGTGACCCCAGAATCACTGAGGCCCAGACAGAGCCAATGGGATAAGCACTGAATAAGGACTCAGGACATATGATGGGCCCAATTGTTCTCTCTTGGGGAACCATCTTTCAATATTGTGTCAAGAAGAGTTAGTAGGCCAACCCTTTTCACACTTTTTCCTAGACACAGTCTAGCTGGCCAGACCAGTTGCCTGGGTCTCTTGGTATCACTTCTGCTTTTTCATTTGCAGGCAGAGAGCCAAAGCTGAGGGACAGCCTTCTGCTGGAGTTCAGGGAGGTGGCCCTGAGTATGGGTATTCCTGAGAACTCCATTGTTTTTATGGCTGACAAAGGTAAGTGGTATCTTGCCCCTCTCTGATTTTTGGTCCTTTCATCCTTCCTGCCCCACAGAGGACATCCTCAGTCCCTGCATCTTTCCTTTAACACTCAGAGACAAACACGGCCACATTCCTCTCTCTTTCTTTCTACATAAACTGAGAGAGCACCTGGGTTGGCTCCAAGTCTCACAGCATGAACTAGCAGAGCCATCATTTGACCAATTCCATTCTTATCCCGGGGCTGTGAGTCTCCCCGAGACTCAAGACCATGTCTCCAACACTAGCTTATCCACAGCTGCAGAAGCAGCAGAGATTTGGGGTTGGGGGAACAGACTCCACAGTGAGAGTACCTGCGTTCAGATTTGGTGGTTCAAGCATAGAGGAGTGGCTTCTGGCTAGCCATCCTAGACCCTTACTTTCTCACCTGTCAGATGGGATAACAGTGTTCTCTCTCAAAGCCTGCTGTGAGGGATCTGTGAGGTAAAGCCATTAGAGGCTGCAGCATTGTGCCTTGGAGATGCTCCCTAAATGCCTTCATCACTGATCTCCTGAGGATACTGATGGAATGATGCTAGTCTCTTGTTCCATCAATGGTGTTGAGTGACTTGAGGAGGGTCTCTACAAAGTGCTCTAAAGTACAGGGCATGATGTCCACCCAACAGAGACCTGGGTCTAGGCTATATGTCTACCCTCCAGAGCCCGGGTCTCTTGCTCACTCTTCTTTTGTGTCCTCTGCCTAGGGGAATGTGTTCCTGGGGATCAGGAGGTAAAGCCCAGTCCACATCTGGTGAGTTCTCTTTCACCCTTCCTTGGCATCCCTACCCCAGGCACTCAGTACAGCCAAGACTGGCAGCCCTGCTGTCCTGGAACTCACCATATAGAGCAGACTGGCCTTGAACACACAGAGATCTGCCTGCCTCTGCCTCCCAGGTGATGGTATTAACGGCATGTGCCCCCCCCCCCCCAGCTGCCAGTTCTTTATTTTTAAAGTATGCTTTGCTGGCTTTATATAGTTTTCTCCCTCGATTTTCTTCTTTATTTGGAAATTTTAGTAAAATGTTCCAACCCTGATGCCATAGCCACGCTGGATATAACAGGGCACAGCTGGAGCTACTCTTTCACAGAACCATTTGGCTCAGTTCCTAGATGTTTTGTTTTATTCCTTGATGTCAGTGGTAAGGTGTCTGCATCTAACCCATGTCCCCTTATTGCCTGACTGACACTGGCAGAAAATGGGGGGGGTAATCATATTGGCTTTATAGTTTATCATAATTTCCTTACAATTACATTTTGCTTTGCTCATTTCAATTTCCTTTTCTTTGTTGAAAATGCTTCTATAACATTTTTCCTGCCAGAAAAAACACCTGTCACATATTTTTGGATCCTTGCTGTCTTAGTTAGGGTTTCTTTTGCTGTGACAAAACCACCATGACTAAAAGCAACTTGTTTCAGGTTTACTTGGCTGCCACTTTCCCATCCCTGTTCATCACTGAAGGAAGTCAGGAAGGAACTAAAACAGGGCAGGAACCTGGAGACAGGAGGTGCGGCAGAGGCCATGGAGGAGTGCTGCTTACTGGTTTGCTCCTTAGAGCTCACTCAGCCTCCTTTCCCACAGAAGCCTGGGCAGTGCCACCCCCAACCAGATGGGTCCTCCCATCTGAATCACTAATTATGAAAATGATTTACAGGCTTGCCTACAGCCTGATTTTATGGAAGCATTTTCTCAATCTCCCTTCAAATGATTCCAGCTTGTGCCAAGTTGACCAGTCAGCACACTTGTCCAGCTTAGACTATCTTTCTGCCAGTCTACTATATGGTCAACAGCTTGGGTGAGGGGAGAATTACTGGATTGCAATCTTTTTCACAACCTTCATATTTTGCTCTTGAGCTTCTGTGTTTAAATCCTGACATTTGCCCTGAGGACCACCAGGCTCCTTGTTCTTCTCTGTGGTCTAGAAGGAGGTTTTTGTTTGTTTTAATTTTGATGATTTTATTTTTCCCTCATAGCTCTTTTTTCAACTAAGAAAAGTTTTCTTCTATTGTTTCTATCTTATTTGTCTTCCCTCCACAATGGCTAGGATGTGTATTTACTCATTGCAGTATCTAAATGGCAGTTTATTATCTCAACTAGGAGGTTAAACCAAACACCTTTTCCAAAATGATTTCTGTCGCTGATTACACTGGTAGATATTGTGAATTTTATAGGTGGCTTGTTCTTGTTGTTTGTTTTTTCTGTTTCTTTCTCTCACCCTTCATCTTTGTTAGGTGGGAATAGTCCTTTAATTTAATCCAATTCCTCTGAGTAGCTGTGTCATCCACCTTGTTCTCTTTTTCTCCATCTCTCCTTTCTCACCAAGAAAGGTGCATACGTCACCAGGTTAAGATGGACCTGGAAGAGACCAGTTGCCCCTTAAAAGAAGAAACCTAAGATCACCATAGTTGCACCTTTTCAAGTCTTAGACCACCACCGTGAACAGAAAGACTACCTAGTGACCAACAGTCTCTCTTCCTGTCCCTTTTTTAATTGGCCTTGAACCCTGCGTCAGGAGGCTCTACACTCAGACATCCTCTTGAGCTGCTTCTGTGAATTCAGACTGGCACTGGGGCTAAGCTTTTGTTAGGCAGTCTAGTCTGTTTCCACAACTCCAGGGGTTCAAGTGAGCAACAGCAGAGAGAGCTCTGCAAAGCTGTTCTCTCCTCTCTCCAGAGAGCCCGGCGGGCAGTGCTGCCCCAAGAAAATGAGGGATCAGGGTCTGAGCCACTGGTAACTGGGATCCTCAAGAAAGAAGGTAAGGAGACTCATTAATTCACCTGCTTTAGCCATGCTGTGGAGAAGAGAGCCCATGGCTGCCTCAGCCTGGCTGCCTCAGCACTGTGAGGCCCCTCTCTCAGTTACAGAGTTGACATCAGGGCGGATAATGCAGATGTAGTTCTGAACCTTGTGGTGTTGGAGGGGGAGGAGCAGCAGATGTGGTCCCAGGCTCCGGAGGACTCCGCTCCTGTCCGTGTGCTCACTAAACTGCGCTTTTCTCTACTATATAATGGGATACTTGTCTCCTGAGCTGACCTTTAGGGATCTTGTATCAGTAATGAGGAAGGATGTAAGGAAGCTTTTTGTGGATGTCAGTTCATTTAACTTGCTCAGCAAATGCCAAGCCTGCCCCACCCTAGGCCTTGTGCCAGACATTGGGATTTTCTTAGCTCTTTGGGTTTTTGTGAAGAGACTTTCAAAGCAGCAAATATTAGGTCCAAAGGAGAGTATCACCACAGAGCTGGTGATCCTAAAACGGGGTGAGGTGATGAAAGACACTTCCCAGGCCAAGGGAACTCAGGCTGTGTCCAGGCATCGAGAAGGGTTTTATGGATCACAGGAGAGCATAAGCATGAGTGGCACCTTGGTGAAGAGGTCAAGGTGGCTGTTGGTTGAGGGAGCCAGCTAGATTCTCCAGGCAGATAGTTCTTTGGGTCACTGGTAAACCTTCCATTCTGGGTTGTGGGGTGGGATGCAGACTGAATTTTGAGTCTTTGGATTTGGGTATTCATTCTGAGATTCACCCATCTCAGAGGGAAGAAGGATGGGGCACTTGCTTCTCGTCCAGAGGATGAGTTGCTACCTCTCTGTCAGCACGGATGGTGCGCATCAAATCTCACACTTGCATAGCAAGTGCTGCTAGCACGGGTGATGCCCGCTGAGTCATGTGCAGGTACCTAGCAAGTGCTCAGTTAAGGGCTGCTCCTCTCTTCTTTCCCAGATTCCTGCCAGCTCACCTACTCAGAAGGGCCCTGCCTAGGGATGATGGAGAGGTATCACTACAATGGCACGTCTATGGCCTGTGAGACCTTCCAATATGGGGGCTGCCTGGGCAATGGTAACAACTTCATCTCCGAGAAGGAGTGTCTGCAGACATGCCGGACCGTAGGTGAACGCACTCTCAAGGCCCCGATTCTCATCACCCCACACACCCATCTGCCCATGAGCAGGAGCTTAGGTTTTCTCAGGGTGGAATCCAGGGCAAGGTTGCTCACAGAAATTCCACATTTGGTTGCAGGTGGCCTGGGTCAGTCATTTTCCCCCTGGGGACCCATCTAGTTTCGCAGTCCATGAAAGAAGGATCACACACTCTAGATGTCCTGCTCCTCTGGCCCTGTCTCAGCAGGCCTATGCATGGCCCATCAGCAGTTCCAAGGCTGACTAACACTCCATGTCTGTCTTTCCTCCACAGCGGCTTGCAATCTCCCCATAGTCCAAGGGCCCTGCCGAGCCTATACTAAGCTCTGGGCATTTGATGCAGCACAAGGAAAGTGCATCCAATTCACCTATGGGGGTTGCAAAGGCAACGGCAACAAGTTCTACTCTGAAAAGGAGTGCAAGGAATACTGTGGAGTCCCTGGTGACGGTAGGAGGCCCTTGGGAGCCCAGGGAGGCAGGCAAGGGAGTCCTGGTAAGGGGTAGGGGCTGGAGAGTCTTTCCCACATGAGCAGCCTGGCCCACTCTCTGGACCCCAGCTTCCCACCTGGGAAATGGTCCAAACCCAGGAACATGCACTAGCTGGCCCTAGCTCTACCAGAGAAGATGCTAGCTAGGCACCATCAGAAGAAATGCCAGATGGCTGAGGAGCTGGTTGGAACTGGCCTCCAGATTCTTCAGGCTGACCAAATGGGCCAAGGGGGAGCCCTCCCTTGTTTAGTGTTGAACCTAGGCCCTATCACATGCTGAGGCACTAAGCTATATTCCGAGCCTCATTCCCCTTTTAATGCTTTTATTTTGAGGCAGGGTCCCAGTGAGTTGTTCTGCCTGCCCTGACTTTTCCCTGCAGCCCTGGAAGGCCTTGATTTATCATCTTCCTGATGGCAGCTGGCCATCAGGTCAGGCCCCACACTCTCGTAAAATGGGACAAAGCCACCAGCTCTCCAGCTTCACAGCCCCCACTGTGGGGCTAGTGCTCAGCTGGTGGGATGACCAGAGTACAGTAGCCACTTAGCATTCTCCAGGCCTTGCTATACCCACTGGAAAATGGTACCTCCAGCAAGTCAGAGAAGGCGGAAGACCAGGCTGTTCCATGCAACGCCCCTGACAGAGGTCATTTAGCAAGTGATGTTTCATCCCAGGCCAAGGACCCATCCTGAGTCACTCTGTATCCACAGGGGATAAGAGCAACTGAAGGTGCCAGTCTGCAAGCCAGAAGGTAGCCACTGTCTGTCCCAGTACAGTCTGGCTCAGATGATCTAGACCCAAATAAAACAAGCTATCAACGCCTGGCATTCTGTGTTTGGGTATCTCACTGCCACTGTAGTTGTAATGATGGTACTGGAGGGGAAGGGAAGCTTTCTCTCCCAGGAGAGAAAGATGCATGGGTTGCATGTGACAATTCTTGTACTACTTCAAACACAATAGTTCCCAATTCTGAAGTAGTGGAGTGGGGTTATTTTGTTTCACGTTAACAAACAGAAGAAAAGCCAGTGGGGGGTAGTACTTGGAAGGCAGAGGCAGGTGGATCTCTGCAAGTTCAAGGCCAGCCTGGTCTATAAAGGAAGGCCCAGGACAGTCAGGGTGACACTGTGAAACCCTGTCTCAAAGAACCAACCCCCCCCCCCAAAGAAACAGAATCTTTCAAAAGGGCAGCAAATGGAAACTAAACCACAGCAATACTTTAAACATACAACAGTTACTAGGCACTATACTCATTTATAAGATCAGGGCCTAGAGAAGGAAAGGGAGGAAGGGAAGAAGGGAAGAATGGAGGGAAGGAGGGAGGAATGGAGGGAAGGAGGGAGGAATGAGGGAAGGAAGGAGGAATGGAGGGAAGGAGGAAAGAAGCAAGCCCAGAAACCCTGGCACTCATTTCTAGAAGAGGATGGACAAAGACCAAGGACAAAGAAATAGTGGTATTCTGGAGTGCCCAGGTGCCTGAGGTTGCCCCATCTTTCCTACATCCAAGTCCTTTCTAGTGTTTTTCTCCAAACTGTCAACTTGTCCCCATACCCATCTCAAATCACCTTGACCTGAAGTGCCCGTCTCCTGGGGTCCTCACCCAGCCCTATGCCGGCTTTCCAGTGCATCTGCAAAAACTAGCTGGACCTTGGACAGGAGTCCAAAGCACCGAGCTGAGTTAGATTCTTGCCTTGCAGGAAAGAAAAGAGATAGACTCGGTAGCTTGAGGACAAGCCTGTTCCATGACCATGTCCTGGGGAATCTTTTGTAATGTCTGGTACTAATTGCATCTACCCAGTGGCCCAATGGTGGGCAGATAATGAGTGGAAGATGAAGACTCTTGGTTTGATATGCTCTCAAATGGAAAAGTCATCTCTGCAGCAGAAACCAGGCCAGTGCTCTGGGAAATGACCATACTCCCCAGAGTTGATAGCCAGTTCAACAAAGGGGTTGCTCTTCATGGTCCTAGGCCATTTGCTGCAGTGTTCAGGTAGGCAGGATGAGTCTAGAACACTATCATCTGGAGACACATACAGACACTCCCTTGACCTTCAGAGTCTTGGGACTTTTAGAAACTTGGGATTTCTAATTTCCAACAGAAAATACTGTCTGAAGGGACAATGTTTATGATCATACATAGCTCTGGTTTGACGTGGACAGGTTAGAAACGGCTAGGGAGACAGATAACTGTGCAGAAAGAAGTTGAGAGAAGGAGCCCCAGCTAGAGCTAATATCATCACAATACATCTATCCTCATGCGCCAGATTCAGCTGCCAATGCGAGTTTGGAGGTACCACTCTGAAGTGGGGCATTTTGGAGGGCCTGGAGGACAAATATTTAACAGAAGGTACAAGTTCCATATGCTGGCTGGCCCCCACCAGTGAGTAGAATGTTGGGTTTATGAGATTGTTTTTGTACAGTTCTGAATTCCCTATCAAAAACCAAGTATCCTCATCTAAAAATCTGCTGTTTTGGTGGCTTTGAAATATGATCCATCTATGTAGCCCAGGCTGGCCTCAACCCCATGGCCATCTTGCCCCTATCTGTCTAGTACTGGAATCAGAGGCATGTGCTACTGCACTCTAGATGGGCTCAGTTCTGGGACGACACACAAGGCTCTGGGCTGTGACATGAGGATACTTCACCTCATGGCTCACTTATCCTGCCTGCAACTGTCTGTCCTGAAGGCACCTCTGTGACAGGGCCATGTGTAGAGATTATACCTGCATTTAACCTAACTGAATTTTTTTCATAAGACCTTAGAACCTCAGATTCTTAAAGTTACCTACCATGTTAGGGACATGGGTGAAGTCTGAGGTGGGGAGGGGGTCTGTGCTTTACTTACCTGGAGACTAAGAGAGCAGCCTTTCATTGCTGGACTTCCTTGAGGTGCTACATCCTCCCCTTTACAGGAGCCACAGTTCATTTTCTGGTGGGATCTTTTCTCCCTCAACTTTGAGCCTATGGAGGAAAAGCATTACTGTCCTCTTATCTGTGACATCGGGCTCTGAGCAAGCAGCGGAAGCCAACTCTTCATGGGTTTAGAGTCTCAATGTTATCAGGAATGGGGCTGGTCTTCCCCTGGAAATGAATGATACACATAATAGTTGTAAACACATCCAGTCCACATGGGAGACTGCAGCCACTATATTAAAGGTACAAGATGGCTGTCTAGCCAGGCCCATTTTGATGTGCGCCTTATGTACTGAACCAGCATAGCTGATTAGATCCATCTCTTATTCTCCGAGACAGGCCTCTACAAGCAGCGTACAGCAGGTCATGGTCTCTTCGGATACCTTCTCCCATATCCATCAAACATGGCTGGGCCAGGCCTATGCCAAGACACAATGAACCCTAAATGAAGAATGGGGAAGTATGACTTCAGAGTGTGACAGGCTCAAGCCACCTTGCTGCCTGACCTCTGTCCCATTCACCTGGCCCCTGTAGGTGCTGTGTTGCATGGATGATATGACCCAATCCCAACCCTAAGAAAAACATCACACACAAGAGGTTCTTAAAGATTGTTTTATTGTAAAACCATAAATACAGCACTGACATGAACTCATGAGCGCACTTAGGCGACTGACCCTCTAGTCACTGGAGGATGTCTTTTTGCCTTGGCATCAACCAACTGGGAAATGGTTTGGGGGTCTGGGGAGGAACTGAATCTTGGGCTGGGGCTTTTGGTGACTTAGGAACCCAGTGGAACCTTCCTCTTCTCGGTGGGAATATTCCACTTTTGGACAAGAACAGACAGGTAAAAACAGGAACATTGAAACAGCTTGGTTTTAAATTTTATTACTTGATAAAAATCTCTTTTTAAAATTTTTCTGTTCCTTTCCTCCATTTGACATCAGTAAAAATTTTAAACATCATGAAACCAGTTTGGCTGTAAAATGGAGAAACAGTACCCAAACCAAAGTAAAACAAAACATCCCAAAGGACACACAGAAAACCCTAAATAAACCCTCAAGTTTGGCCTTGGGAGTTCATGTATCACAAGAACTGGCAACTCAACCCCCATGCAATGTGGCTCCATGAAGGACTTCTGGATCCACACCATCAATACAGAAGACCGCCAGCAACGGCTTTGTTAATTAACACAGCAAGTGTGACACTAGGTAACTTTTTTTTTTAAATACAGTACATGGTACACAGGGTCCCTAAGATAGCCCTGCATAAACCCCCGTGAAGACTTGAGCCAAGCACTGGCTGTTTATAAAAATATTATGTTGCTACAAAAGTATAAATTAATACTACTGGTATTAAGAAATATTAAACACATAAAACTTATAAGGATTAAGAAAAATATTCATTAATACCTGTAGAAAACTCTGGCCTAAAAAAGATATTTTTTTTGTGTGTGTGTTTGCTTTTTTGTAAATTTTTTTGTTTTTATTTTATTTTTTTAAGATGACTTGAGTTTCTTGCACTCGAAGAGAGACACTGATGTGTCTATGGTATTGCCGAGAATGTCCTTACTACTGAGACAGGATGGGGGCACACACATGTGGTCGCTGAGTAGCGGGGCAGGAGGAATGGGGCACCAAGGCTTTCTTAAGATTTACCTGATGTGAACGGATCACCGACGTGAGGTTGTGGGGAAAAGAAAGATGGGATCAGAAGACAACTGAAAATAATTCATGCCTCTTAAAAAATATCTCTGCTTCAGGTTGTACAAAATGGTTTCCTGATGCTTGGGGTCTGGAAGGTCCTGCCACACGGCTCTTGCTCTTGCCTGGTTGGCCAGGCTCAGCCTGAGTCAGGCCACAAGCTTGAGCCCTGTTTGGGAAGCCACCCACCCTGGCTAGTTGGGAGAAGGGTCCTAGGACAGCCTTCCGGCACCTGGATTGTGGGAGGAGTCCTTCCAGCTGGCCTGAGAATTCAGGCTTCTAAGGATAGAAGGAACTTTGGTACAAAAAGTCAAGGTGCCCAATGGGATGCTTGGGTGGGTAGGACCTTGGTGGGTCATGATGCTAAGGCCAACTCCAAGCTTAGTGAATTTCCCATATGCGAGTGGAACCCTGAAAGTGCCACCCTCTTCCACATGGGGCCTGTACCTGCTCAGAGACCACAGGTTCCCTTGGTCATGGTCACAACCCGGACTCTCTAGACTACCATCCTCAGACCCAAATGAGAGAAGAAGAAAATAACCACAGCCACAAAATCCCACTGGAGACCCTGCAAAGGGAAGATGGGAGGAAAATGTAAGAGGAAACACTGCATCATTGGTTTGCCATAACTGGCCTAGCAAACGTTAGCCACAGTGAAGGGGAGGGGCGACCTCCTCGCCAGCTCTCCCACTGCCCTGGAGACAGGAGCCCCTCTTCACTGTCTCCAGGGTATAGCCTGAGCCTCAGTCTCTTGGTTCTGCCCTCCAGAAGCCTTCGTGTAGATATATGCCAGACACAATAGTGTTACACCGCTGCCAAGGCCAGGAAGCTAGGGGCTTGGCACAGCTTATGGAATAAGGAGTGCCCTGTGCCCTCCTCTTCAAGCATGATATGACAAGGCCTGGGACGGAGTACCACAGGGTTTCCCTTTACCTACATCCTAGCTGTGGTCCTTCTTGGTGACCCCGTGTTCTCAGAGTGAGTATATATGGCACCCAGACTCTACTCAGGTGTCCCCCTCCTCAGTCTAGCTGGAGGCCAGGAAAAGAGGGGACCTTGCCCAAAATTGGGCTCCAAAAGCAGAGATTCAGCTTCACAGTGGAAAACATGCCTTGTAGAATTCTTCTACTTCTTCAAAGTGAAGAAGATAAAATTTGTCAGACTGAAATGAAGACTCTTGGCCAGCCTACACAGCCGGTGTCCAGATCCTGCCTAAAAAACCTGGAGATGAATTATCATCAGTATCACCAGGTGCCTTTCTCACCAGGAAACAGGTACCTTTCCCTCAGTCCAGAGTCAACCCCACAACACCAAATGTGAAGCCATCAAGTGGGAGGGTGGTGACATCATCCATGCTGTAGCAAGTGGCTTCCTGAAATGCAGGCAGCTGTGCTCAGACAGCATCCATCTTGCCTTCTGGTTGCTGAAAGCCACACAAGGGAAGCTTGGCAGGCGGACGTGGGTGTTGGGAACAGAAGCACGTTGAGAACAAGTGCTTCCATGTACAACCATTCCTCGAAGACCTGACTCCTCTTGAGTGACTAAATCACAGGAAAACAAGCTGCAGGCCATGGCTTGGGCTTCATTGGTGAAACAAAGTGGCCTCAGATTGGGGGAGAACCTTGCTAATGGAAATGCATCTTCTATACTTCCATGTTTGGCTCCAAGGATGTTAAAGCAAGAACCATTTTTGCCGAGAGAATCATACAGGTCAAGGTAAGCTGTATGCTAGAAATGGCTCATCATCCTGGTTGCTCCTCCCCAACAAGCCTATGATGTAGAGACATATAGTGGTCACAGATTCAGGAGGCAGATGACAAAATCCTTCTGAAGGCCAAGACCAGCCCAGGCCACTGGAGATGAACTGGAAGAGCCTATCTTAGTGCTTTGGCTGAAGTAGAATTTGGTAAGGTGGATATTGCTGTTAAAGGGGCCTGTGGCTAGACCTGGGAGATCTTTGGGATTTATTGAGCTGTTTGTTGCAGGATGTTCACTGTGGATATGGTCCACATGACAGCAGACACGGCACAGTTTTGTTCAGTTTGTGACACCAGAGAGGAATGACAGCCTGCCACTTTATAATCTTTGAAGATGAGGCTCCAGAAACAGATTTCTGAGGACCAAGTGGGGCTCACACTGAACCTAGAGAAGCAATCTAAGCCCCAAGGATAGAGTTAAGGTGCAAAGTAACTGGACGGGAGATGATGACCTATGACCTGGATTTTCACACTAGTTTTCTTTCAGTAGGGAGGATGTTCCATATTCCAAAAAGAATGCTTGAAATGCACACCTGGGCTTGGCTGATGGTTTGCCAATAACAGCAGCTTAGCTCAGCTCCGCCTGAGGATCTGTTCTCACTGACTGCACTAAGCACCCAGCTTCCAGTGTGGCTACAAGTGCTGGGCTGTGGTCCCATTCCCAACAGATGAGGGAGACTGGGGTTGCCCATCATTATCAATCCAGAGCCCACCTCCTGGAATGCCCCAAGCTGTGTGAAGACATTCCTACATTCTTCAGGGAGCGACATTCAGTTCCTGTCTGGACTGCTCCACTGTGGGCAGAGGTTCCTCTGATGGTAAGAGCCAAGTTGAAGACATTGAGATGGAGACACCTAGCGCTTCCCCTGGAGTAGAGATTGTGTGGTAGTTCCTGAGACCATAGCTTGCTAGAGTGGATTGTACACAGCCTTCTCTGATCTATTTGTATGTCTGAGATTCTACAGGAGAGCTCTGTTAGTCTTGTGAGGCAAAGAATGCAGGCCTGTCCTCAAGGCCAGTTCTGGAGCCTTGAACATAACTGGAAGCCTTTGAGTCTTTAAACTACCTTCACTCCCCTCCTGCTGGCAACCCAGGGGAGAGGGCTCTGGGTACAGTGCTTTTGAAGACGAGGTATCTTTCAGTTGAGTAATGCTTTATGACTGGGAAGAGGAGACAGTCCAAGCTTTGGGTGGGGGAGGTGCTTTTGCAAATAGCCCCTCAGGGGTGGCCACTCTCAGCCTGAAGTGTAAGCATCCCATCCCACAGCTGTGGTCAGGGACACCAAGGTCTTTATTTATGGAGTGGTTATGCTCATCATCCTATGAAGAGAATGCTGTCCCCTCTTGGCATCTGGACTGTGGTAGAAGCACTAGTTCTTTGCCAGGGGGATAAGAAATGAGGGCTACCAACCCCTTTCACAGCATTGAGTCAAGCACATCCACCCACAGGATGCCAACTGTTCAACCACCAACATACCACACCCTACCACTGCCCTGACGACAGGTCTGAGGTGCCTGTAGGGACCTCTGAGGGCTATAAACTCCCAGGACCCCTGGGATCTGGGGAGGGAGAGAGACCATGGATCTGGCGGCCACAAATATGGACTAAGTCAGGGTCTCTGTGGACCTGGAGGTCAGGATGCAGTGAGTAGTACCGAGCAGTCTGGAGACAGGAGGCAAACATTCAAGAGGTGGACATCCAAACAACCACAGGCAGGAACCAGGCAGCGGCTCTCTCGCTGATGTTCAGGACCCCTAAAGCCACAGGTTTCCCATGATGGCCTCACAGCCAAGGAACGGGACTCCTCCCAACTCCCTCCACACAGCCATGACCGAGACTTGGTTATATGAGTCCTGAACACCACCGCTGAGATGAGCTAGTTTACAGTGTGACTTGAGAAGAGAAAGGGTAAGTAAAACAAACAGAACACAACTCCAGAATGTATGTCACAGACATTCAGTGCCTCTCAGAAGAGTCTACATCAAATGTGAAAAGAAACTGAAACCCCCAGAAGAGAAAAAAATTGCTGAAGTATTGGGAAAACAACAACAACAAAAATGAGCGGAAAGTCAGCTATATGTCTCTGGAAAAAAAAAAAAAGTCTTGTTTTTTTCTCTCTTATATTAAAAAGTAAAACATCAGCTTTATATTTCTAGAGTCTCCTTTCCTGATATGGGGAGATAGATAGTGTGTATTCTAAGGCAGCTGCCCTGGATTTCCGTGGGGGAGGTCACAGGTGCAGCAGCTTAATGCCCTGAAGATGAAACGAGAAATAAAGTCCAGTGCAGAAACTGTCCATCCGATGCAGTCTGGAGAATCTGTCAGAGCAGCTGGGGCAGAGGATGGGTACCGTGGGATGAAGGAAGGGCAAGGAAGGGCCAGGACTGGGATGGGGGTTCAAGCCACTTCAGCCCTCAGCTGCCTGAATACTTCACAACCCCAGCTTCTCCCAGTCTGCACACCTGAAGACGGAGTCCTTAGAGCCCCTGCCCGAGAAAAGTGAAACCAGTCCCGCTCTCCCAGTCTCCCGGCTTTCCTGACACACCCAGCTCAATGCACACACACGCCTGAGGACAGGCATGTGTACATGCACCAGGGGTGTGTGTGTGTGTGTGTGTGTGTGTGTGTGTGTGTGTGTGTATGGAGTGTCTCTGGCTGAGAATTTGAGCATGGGCTCTCCATACCCTTTACCCATTCAGTGTCACATGTGTGGGTATGAATACACACACACACACACACACACACACACACACACACACACCGCTGGGAAAAAAAGCACTTAAGTTTCCAAGGGGCATTTACAATGAGGTTCCACAGTGTTTAGAACTTAAATTTCTTTGTTTGTGACAGTGTGGTGTGTGTGTTTTCCTAATGCTTTTCTTCTTTTTTGTCTTTTTTTTTTGTTTTTCCCCAAAGCTGAGTCTTAAAGCATGTTGGATTTCAAAAACATGAGCTTGTTCATGTCTTCTGGACTAAGCAGTCGCCTCCTTTTGATAAGAAGGGCTTGTTCACACATATTTACACACCCGCTCCGAGCTCCCACAGCAGGGACCGCCAGCAGCCAGAAGGCGAGCTTGGCGAGTTTTGTGTGCTTTTGGGTCACGCATGACCAGTACTGGAAGAGATCGGGAGTGGCCTGAAAGAGGGGTTCCTGAAGGTAATCATAGACTTCGTTCTTGCCCAGCCGGTCATCCTCCTGAGCTGCGGGGTGCTCACCTGTGGCGGAGCGGGCCTTCTTGGCTGAGGGCTCAAAGTCAGCCTCCTCAGCCCAGGACTCCTTTACCTCATTGATGAGCTCACACACCTTGCTGATGATCTCCTCGTGCTGGTAAGGCGGCACAGGCCGCAGTTTCTGCTGAGGATCCAGGATCATGGCCACCTTGTGGGCTGGATGCACCTTGAAGTTCTCCTTGAGGGCTTCTAGGAAGAGGTGGCACAGCTTGCTGACGGTGCCCGCGTCATTGGCCTTGGCTGTGAAGAGCTTCTCCAGCCTGACATAGGTGGGCAGCACCAGCTGCAGGGTGGGCTGGTTCTCGTTGCTCAGCTCAATGACCGCCTGCTTCACGGGCGTCAGGATGGCGGCCAGGTTGCTGAGCAAGTGCTTGTTGAGGCTCTGGATGAGGCTCATTTTCTTGGCGCGGCTGTAGAACTCGCAGATCTGCTCATAGCGCTCATGTACCAGCAGCAGCGAGTCTGTCACAGAGTTCCAGCAGGGTGGCGGCGCCGTCTCCTCCAGAGAGCCAAAGGTCTCCTTGGCCAGGCCCGTGGAGCCTGCCAGGTCCTCACACACACTGAGCAGCTCGATGACCTCATGCATGCTGCGGGCCTGCAGCGTCCGCTTGCTCAGCACACTCTGCACCACCGAGTTCAAGGCACAGGCTGAGCAGCGAAGGCACATGCCAGCCTTGGAGAAGGCGGACGTGCTCACCCGGCAGTCCGTCACATACACGGTCCGGATCTCGGACATCACGAACTCTGACAGCACGTTCTGCACCCAGTGGTGCACCAAGTCGCCGCTGTCACGGATGTCTGCCCCCTTCACGCCCAGCACGTAGCTCTTAATGTGGTTGCCCTCCACCTGGTAGGCCGTGAGGATGTAGCAGGAGTCAGGGCCCACGCTCTGGGAGTGACACGTGACACCGATGCCCAGGCAGGCATTGCTGCCCAGGGCACATGTCACCTTCACCTTCACCTGGTTGTACATGCGTGGCAGGTGCTTCAGTGCCAGTGTGTTAAAGTTCCCCAGGATCTCGGTGACTGAGAAGGCCCCATAGCGGGCTCCACTGTCTACCAAGGTCTGGGCCAACTTGAGGAACTCCTTCCCACTGACCACGCTCAGTGCACCCAGGTCAGCGCACATGACCCGCAGGAGCCGCTCTGCAATGTTCTGCCGCTCCTTCTCTGGGATTATACTGTTGGGTGTCAAACCACTGGGTGTGGCTGGCAGGGGACACAAAGAGAGAAAGGATTAAAAGCTGCTTAACTGGGCAGCAGCAATACCCTAAGTGGCTATCATAAAGAATAACAATAGATTTTGTCTTGCATACAGATTGGTGCGGCCTGGTTATAACAAATGACAATAGCACAGGGATAAAGTTCCATGGTTGATAAATCATGCCTGTGATGGGCATAAGGATAGCATACAGTGATATGTATGCAACATACTTGCCACGTGTGTGTTGCGGATGTAAACATGTTTTGTTTTCATCCCAGATGTAGCATATGGGACCGATTCAGATGGTCCACAGCAGAAAACTATTTGCCTGGTGCAGGCTCTGAGAGGACCCTTTGCCACTTTCAGGTAGTTAAAATCTGAGGACTCTGGAGAAGGAATACATGCCAGAGCCCAGAGAGTGTTGGGGGCCTCTAAGAAAGAAGAAGGCTGCTGCCCCCCCCCCCCCCCCCCCGCTGCTCCCGGCTGCTGTTGAAGCAGTTTGAAGTCAGAAATCTCCTGAAACAAAGATTGGACTTCCCCCAGGAACCTGACAACGCTAACCAGCAGGAAGTAGCTAAGAAGAACTCTGCCCCTTGCCCCCCTAACCTTTCTCCTACCTAGTGTCGGGTGTTGGAAGGGACTGGGATGGAGAAGGAAGAAAGAGGCATAAGACGTGTAAATAAAACAGTGAAAAAGTAGCGCCGACACATGTGCTACTCACCTAAACCCTTGAGTACAACCTTTTCTTCAGCAGGAATTACATAGGAATCTTTAGTGAGTAAAGTGCTTAGGGCCAGTGTCAAGAAAACAGCCTACAAACATTGCAAAAGTGTGGGGTTCTAGTTGTGACCCTGGCTTTTAGGTAGTGTGTTGGGTGGGGGAGGCACACCACCCGCCTTCCTGGCCTTCTTTTGCCTGTCCATGCGTTAAGAATTCCTGCACAGGTATGCATCATCTTCCGTCCCCAGGAGGTACACATGGTAGCAGTGGGGGCAGGGTGTGGTTGCAGTGGGGCTGACGGACTTCCAGGGGCCCGGGCTTCCGCATGCTGAGACCTACTGTTGTTGGTGCTGTTCCTCTGAGCCTGGGGTTTCCACTTTTCTTCCACTGCAGCAGGTGGAGATCGGGACTGGTTGGAGGCGATGTTGTTTTCACTGTCAGCTGCAGGAACAATGGGAGCAGTGGGTCACGTTAAAGGGTAAAAGGAGGCTGAGGAGCAAAGTCAGGACCCGTTGCGGGTCAAAGGGTAAAGTTACACATGGCCACAGGGAGCTGTGTTCAGGCTTCGCAGACAGCTGCCTGTGGTTTCAAAGCCTCATCTGCACAGTCTAGGAAATGGAGGACAGTGGTACGGCCACCACACAACTTCAAGAAGGGAAGAGCCTAGGACAAGAGGAGTCTCCCCCCAGGCACCCTGTGTCCACCACAGCCACAGAGCAAAGCTCTGAAGTATGTGTGTGCGCACGCCACCTGCCCCAAAGTGTGTCTCAATGAGATTTGTCTTTCTAGAATACGATTCCATTAGATAAAAAGCCGCATTTGATTGTATTAAATGGGGACCCAATGCCTACCTAACATGATAAGAAGCATAATACCAAACCCTTCACTGGACATGGAAACTGAGGCCCACATTTAAAATAGGTTTGTTCAAGGCAACACACAGTGGGGTAGCGGGACAGTTACAAACACCTTTCAATGCACAAGGAACCAGGCAGAACCCAGGCCTCTGAAACCAAACCTGCCACAGACTAATGGCTGTTCTGTTCCTGCTCTCATATCCTCACAGTGAGCTTCAAAAGCATAAAGTATGAAGGGGTAGAGATGACACAGTGGCTAGGAGTGTGTTCTCTTTTAGTCACGTTTGGTTACTAGCACTCAGTCAGGCAGCGCACAACTGCCTACATCTCCAGCTCCGGGGAATCTGACACCCTAATCACCTCTGTGGGCACCCAAATGCACATGGTTAGACACACACACACACACACACACACACACAAAATCTTAAAAAAGTATAAAGGAGAATCCCAGGAAGACAGATTGCAGATGAAGTCCGTCAGTTTCTAAGAAGCATAGTGGAAGCATCTGTATCATGAACAGTTCTAAGTACCCAACACAGCAAAGGACAACCCGAAATCTGCCAGTCAAAGGAAACAGACCTTAGCAAGATACAATCAGGCCTCAAGAATAGCAGCAGTAAACACCATAAATACATTCAGAGTCATAGAGAGAGAAAGTAAGCAACAACATCACAGCCAGCAAAGTGGAATTAATATATTAAAAAGTGTCTGTGAGGCGAGCAAGATGGCTCTGTGGGTGAAAGTGCTTACTGCCAGACTGCCCAGAGTGATCGATGACCGCAGTTCAATACCTGGACATGGAGCAAGGAACCGATGCCTGCAAGTTGTTCTTTGACCTCCCCTCCAACAATAAATGTAAGGGGTGGGGGAGGGGTTATTGTGGAGAAGAAGGAACAAAGAACACAGGAGATGAATGGCACATAAGTAGAAAGGTGTTAAATTTATGACCAACAACATCAAAAGTACATTAAATACAAATGCCCCAAAATTATAAATAAAAGACAGAGATGCATAGTTTAAAAACTCAATGATATATCCTGTTTAAAACATCTACTGAAATAAAGCCAGAGATCGGTGAAATATAAAAGGTTAAATAAATATAAGCTAGGTAATAAAAGGAAAGCTGAACCTGAGTGACACATAATGCCAGATAATCAGGTTCCAGAATAAATGTTGATGGGGACTAACAAGAGAATGTTTGCCAATTTACCTAGAACATATGAGTCTTTTAAAACCATGTAGCTCTTTTGTTTTGTCTGGGTCAGTGGCCACGCAGCAGCAGGTGTCTGCATCAATGTCGGGAGCCCATGTTACCACTAAAGGCCATGCAGACATCCCTGGTCTGGGCTGCATCTTGGGACCATGTTAATAGCCAAAGTCTGTGCAGAGCTGACCCTGCCTCTCACTGGCTGTGATGCTCAGCAGAGCTGGCCCTGCACCATGCCTAGGTAGCACAGGAGAGCTGGCCCTGGTGGCAAGGGAGGAAGGGAAACAGGTGAGCAAGCAGGAAAGCAGGAGAGCTGTCCCTGCCCCTCATCTGCCTTGCCTCGGTGTGGGTAAGGGAGAGATCCCCTCTCCCTATTGCCCCTTGCTGCCTGTCTGCAGATTGGGTGAGCTAGCTAGGACAGTGCTGGAGAGCTTGCCCCAGTGGTGTGAGTGCAGGAAAGCTGGCAGGCTGACGAACTCAGCTACTACCCAGACCCAGATCCAGGTACAAATACACAATGGAATTTTATCTAACTATAAAAAAAAATTAAATCATGAAGTTTTCAGGTAAATGACTGGAGCTGGAAAATAATTATACTAAATGAGATAACCCAGCCCAGTAGAAACACTACATGGTCTCTCTCATATGTGAATCTCAGCCTCTACTCTGTAGCTTTGTTTAACCTAGAAAACCCTTGCAAGTCTGGAGACTAGAACGAGGTACTTGGGATAGGAGTGTGCCTCAGAGGAGCAGGGACAGACACAGGTAAAAGAAGAGAGAAGCAACACTAGGGGTAAGATTATTCAAGGGGGGTGGGGTGATGGCGGATCAGGGAGAGAGGGTGGGCAAGGGTTAAGCAAAACAAAGTGTGTACATAGTCACATAAATTTTATTATTTTATAATTGAATTAAAAATATAAAAGATTGATGAGAGACACCCATCACAGCTTGATGATGCTTCTCCTGGAAGCAGAGGGTCAACACATAAAACTCCTGGTGCCAAGTGTGGGCATTCCCAAAAGAGTTGGCCAGGGAGGCTCCAGAGGCCCCAAACAACACAGGCTCTTGTCAGTTCTCTTGGATGTCAATTAGACTACAGTGTGAAACTCTATTGCTGAAAACTCTACACACATCAGTTATAAGATAAAGTAAGTTAGAACAAAACAGCCTCCCTCCTGTCCAACATTTAAAGAGCCAGAAGTTGTGAAGTAGGCAGCTAGGAGAGAAAAGGCATCAAAGGACTTAGCCAGCTGTGAACCTTTGTGACTACAAAATCAGCCTTCTAGGGAAGACGTGTCCACCAGGTCAGTGGGGCACAACAGTCATGCAACCCATTGATCAGCCTCTGATTCAGTCTGGGCCCACTCCACGGGAAGGGATTCATGCTTACTACAAGCTAGGCCAACAGTCCACGTGCAGGGAAGCCACAGACCCATGGGGATACCTTATTAATATTACTAAAATGACTAAGCACCCCTTTCCTTAGAGAAGCTTCTCACCACAGTGAACGGAGGTGAATGCAGAGACTCACAGCTTCCCAAGGTGCTGAGAACAAGTGATTTCTGAGTACCTAGCCCTAAAAATGAATTCACCCTAACCCCTCCTAAGGCTCAGGAAACACTGAGAATGCAGGATCAGGAAGGATGGAAGAACTGAAGATAAAGAGAAGGGCTGCAAAATGTCATCTTGTAGGCATTACACAACCATTGTAATCATGAATTCACAGCAGCTATGGCTTCCTGCATTGGATCTGAGCATAGCCGACAATGGATGGAGGAAGGGCTGTCGAGCCCTGTCCCTTACTACTCAACTATTAGCTATACGAGACTCTGGGAGACGTGGAGTAGCCATCTTCAGTTGTGTACCTACTGCTAAGCTCACCATGGTCCACAGTCACACGAACAGCTTAGTTAAATTCAGGGAGTCACAAAACAAAACAAGCTGTGAGAAAAAAAATTAAGGGATGGGGAGAAGTGGGGAATAGAAAGGATTGAAAGAAGTTGAAAAAGAGTAGGAAATAAGAATAATTCGAATGAATTATGTGTGTGTGTGTGTGTGTGTGTGTATATATATATATATATATATATATATATATATATATATATATATACACACATATATATATATATATATATACACATATATATATATATATTCAAATATCCCAGACTTTGAAATTTGTGAAATCTGAAACACTTCTGTTTCCAAGCACTTCAGAAGATGAATACTTAACCTGTACCTCCAAGAGGTGATGGAGTAATAGGTGCCTGCCAGCCTGGGTCTTAGAAGGTACCACAGTCTTTGAATAGATCATCTATGTAACCCTCATCTTTGGGAAGAAAGGCTTGATAAACTCTTACTGTGAAAATGAGGAAGTCCAAAGCTGTAAAACCGTTCAAGGGATCAGAAATCATGGGCGGCCACCTCCTCAGTCTAAAACAGTGAACTAATGGTTTAATTTGTTCTCTGCAATCTCCTGGGCACCTCTTTTTTTTTTTAAATATTAATGACAATTTATTCACTTTGTATCCCAGCTGTAGCCCCCTCCACCATCCTCTCCCAATCCCACGTTCCCTCCCTCTTGTTCTCCTATGCCCCTCCCCAGTCCACTGATAGGGGAGGTCCTCCTCACTTTCCATCTGACCCTACTCTATCAGGTCTCATCAGGACTGGTTTCATTGTCTTCCTCTGTGGACTAGTAAGGCTGCTCCCCCTCAGGTGGAGGTGATCAAAGAGCCAGCCACTGAGTTCATGTCAGAGATGATCCCTGTTCCTATTACTAGGAAACCACTTGGACACTGAGCTGCCATGGGCAGGGGTTCTAGGTTATCTCCATGCATGGTCCTTGTTTGGAGTATCAATCTCACAAAAGACCCCTGTGGCTTTGGCACCTCTTAACTGTGTTCTCTATCCCTCCTAGTGAGGACAGCAAGGGCCAGTCTCTGAGGGGTCAAGTCCACTGACTGCACCAGGGCAGATCACCGCTTCAGTGTGGATGTTAAAGCCCATGCAATCTGGAAGGAGTTCATGCCCAGAGTGAGAACCCCAGTCTAATTATCACTGATCTTATAACTTCAGCTGCAGGCGTGCATGAATATGAGCAGGTGCATGTGTGTGTGCCAGTGTGCATGCAGGCCAGAGGTCAACCTTGCCTGTTGTTCCTTAGCAGCCACTCACCTTTTCCCCCTTTCCTTTCTTTTTCTCTTTTTTTTTGTTGAGACAGAGTCTATCACTACTATGTACCTTACTAAACAAGCCAGGCTGGCTGGCCAGGGAGCCACAAGGATCATTCACCTGCCTTTGCCTCCCCAGGCTAGGGTTACGAGTGTTCACGGTCATGTGCAGCTGTTCTCTGCGGGTTCTGGGAACTAAACTCA